GGGATAGCCGCTCGCTCCTCGTATAGAACTCATACTATCTGATTCAAAAAATGTCAAAATTGTTGGGGGCTTCGCCCCCGAGTTGCAGAAAACATTTAAAAATTTCTTAAAGAAATGCTTAAATTTAAAAAAAATGTCGAACGTCACTTGAAAAAAATAAAAAAATACACAACACATAACTCACTATTTCATCTTTGAATCGCCTACACTTGATAATTATCAAATTCTCATCGTCTGTCTGTTTCAGAAAAAAAACTCACATTTTCTTAAAATCACTGGCGCCACTTGAAAAAATTAAAAAAATACACTTCACATGTGGACAAATCCTGTTGAATTTGACTAAGAGTTTCATTTTTATTTAGCAAAGTGTCTTTTAGACTGTGTAAAATAATGTTTAGAGCCCGATGGGACTCAGGAGGCTGCGCCCCCGACTGGGGCTTACGGGGGCCGTGCCTCCGATTGGGGCATACGAATGTTCTAGAGAAAAATGTGGCTAATCATTTGTGCCTTTATTTTTCTGCAAATCTGGAAATCTATATTTTGTTAGTTCACTGGGTCCATCCAGCGTTTGTTACTTCAATGCCAATAATCATAACCTCAAATACGAAATTTTTTGGTAAATTTCTATGATATGGGACTTTTAAAGTCCGAAAGGATACTTGACGACTTACCATCTTGCTCTTTTGTGTTTGCAAGTGAGGATAAATTCTATTTTAGATACTTATCTATCTTTCGGGGTCCCAAAATCCGCGGCTCTCGGTGGAGACATAAAATTCACAAAAAACACCTTCGCCACTCGAACAAATTGACTAATAAATAATAATACTTTACACACTCCCCTATTTCACTTGATTATGATCGCATTTCCACAATTTTTCTGCTAATAAACTTTTTTGTGACCGACGCAACGCCGAGAATTGTCAAAAACAAACGCCACTTGATTTTTTCAAAGAAATTTTCCTCACCTGACAGGTTACCACAAATTACACATTTCTTTCATTTACTTCGCATAGTTTTCACCGTACTTTTCATGCATTATTTCCGTCACCTCAAATTCGACCGGCTAATCTTAATACAGATTTTTTCGTCAAACTTCCTTTGTATGGACTTAACCTCACTTTTTGGATTTAAATGAAAATATTTTTGTATGTCGTATGCATCCACCCTTTGTATTTTTAAATCACTTTTATTCTGTCTTTTCGTCATTTGATTCTCCTACAGACAATTTTGAAATCTGTTTTTATCATTTGGAAAGCGGTGTGCGTGCACATGTGCGATGTTTACAGATACATAGGTACTGCCAACCTTAAAAAAATTGAAAACAATTTTTTTTTTTAAATTAATTTTTATTATTGAAAGCATGTTTTTT